CTTCATCTCCCTCCTGTGGAACAGCTGGTGTTTGAACCGCTGGCCTTCTGGCTGGCAACCAGATGCCTCACCCACCAGAGCTCCCTCCAATCAATCTAGTTCTTTGCAGAGTGAACCCATCAGGACAGTGGTAGTCCAGCCAGCGTTCTCGGATGGAGACTGTGTGCATGGGGGCTCCGCGCCGCCTACCTTCAGGCTGACGTCCGTCCAGTAGATGTGATTGCTGGCTACGTCGAAGTCCAGCGCAGAGGCCTCCTTGACTCCCGTGAGCGGGATGGCCACGTCGTTATTGGTGGTCTCCAGGGAGATCCTGTGGATGGCGGCTCGGCTCGTGAACACAAGGAAGGCCTCGGGGACGATGCAGGTCCTCATGTCACTCAGAAGCTCCAGGCCAACGGGGCAGCCGCACTTGGTGGCACGGGGGGTGAAGAGACACAGATGACTGCAGCCCCCGTTCCTGTCTGCACACGGGTTGGTTCCTGGAGGCAGACACACAGGCTTGAACATCAGCAAAGAGCAAAGAGGGACGGGACCGATTCCCTGCCAGGCGTGGCTCTATCCAGCCAGATGGCACCTGGGGACTGTGGGGGTGGGGGGAGAAAGCCCCAGAGGACGGGTCAGAAAACTAGGGTTCTCCGCTGGGACGGGCAAGGGGAATGCCAAGAACAAGGCTGGGTCTGGCTGGGCCTTGCCACGTGCCAGGCACGGTTCAGGTCCCTCACTCCATCTACACTGCAGTCCACGACACGAGCTATTCCCTTCCCCATCCTTCAGTCAGAGAAACTCAAACAAAGAGAGACTGTTGCAGGTCACACAGTTAGAAAGCGGCTCAGGGGGAACACAATCCCAGATGGTCCAAGCCCCGGCCAGGAACCTGCAATAACGCCTCGACACACCGCTAGTACGAGTGGTCCCCTCCCAGGGGCCCAGCCCCTCGCCACCAACGGGACTGGCCCTCGAGATTCCACTGAGAAGCTTCTCCGGTGGGCTTCCCTGCCAGCCACCGAGGGGCTCAGACCGCCAGGGTGCTCAAAGGCACCTCTAATGGAAGCCAACGGCGCTCAGCACAGCCCATTCATCTCACTCATCCGCTGAGGCACCGTCAA